GGCCGAGAGCGTGGCTGGGGCCCTCCTTTCCTTTCGTATTCCTACCAGGGCTCACCGGTAGACTGACAGCAAGCACTGGGCATCCTGCAGACACCAGGCCTGAGCTGACAGGGAGCTCTGCTCACCCGCCACCACGCGGAGCCCATCAAGGAGCCAGAACACGGGCAGCAGCCAACCTGGGTGTTCGTGGTGAATGCATCCTTGGCGAAGTTAATCACAGAGCTCTGGGTTTATCAGTGGCAAAGTCTGCGATGCTATGAGAGGCAGAGATGTAATGTTCTGGGGTCACAGGATGGCTGAGCCATTATGTACCCAGGAGAGCTTTATGCGGCTGGAATTTACCAAGAGGCTGAGTGAACTAGTTAGGAATCTCGACCTCTGGCTTTCTGTTCCCTCCTGTCCTGTAACAGAGAACAGATTCTCCTCTCTAGTAATGAGGTGAGGACCCTGCTTTGTGGGTTTTTTCTGTTTCCACTTAAGGCAAAACTCAGAACCAGAAGACACTGCCAGAAGGTCTCCCTCCCTTAATCCTGTCCCCTTTTACATGTTCCTTCTGTCTTCTGAGGATGAAGCAGAAGCTGTGACCTCAGTCTTTATCAAGACCAGGATTGTTGCGAGCCCCTGGCACAACACCTGGGTCTTTTCCATTGATGGAGAGGACCCCGAGATATCCCCCAGCAGACAGCCTACATTCACCATCTCTGATCCTCCCATAAGACACTACTCTGGACATGAAGTATCTCTCCTTCCCCCTGCTGGCTTCTTCCCTCTTCCCTTCCTCACCTGGGAGACCTCCCTAGTTCCTACAGAGCCTACAAAATACACTTCTGGCTGCAGCTGTACTTGGGCGGAGTGGGATAAAAGCACAGATGTAGAATGAACCTATGCTGTGATAGCAGTCAGGGCTTGTCCAGACATGACAGCTTCCCTGCCCCTTCCCAGGGGAGTGCTTTCAGGAGGGCGGGGAGAGCTCTGTAGCACCCAAGTGGAAAAACTGGCTGCACTGTGCAAGGAGAGGGGATTGCTGGAGAAGGGCAAGGAGCTTGTGCTTCAACCTTCACCAGCTCCCCAGGCAAAATGAGCAGCAAGCAGTAGGGACTTATAGAGGCACCAGGTCCTTGTAGCAGAACAAAGTCAGATCAAAGCAGGGACGAGGCATCCACTGACCCTGAGAGCAGGGCATGGATTCCGTTTTCTATATGCCGTAGCCTTGTGTCATATGGCTCTAACAACAAGAGCAGAGATGTGCTTTTACCTCCCTAACACATATCTGCCAAAACACTACATATATCCTCTCCCTTGACAAACACACAAAGTTGCCCTAAGAAGTTGAATCTTGTCCCTTCTGTGGCAAAGGGAGAGGCTCATGCTGCTTGCTCCAACAACCCTGGCTCGTTCTGTGGCTCTGGTACCTGAGTAACTCCTGTGTTTGCTAATTGCTCTTCCTCAGAAATGAGCCAGGCACCGATGGTATCGTGCAACACGCTTTACATGATTTCCCATGGCAGAGGAGCCGTCTCAGTCCAAGCAGAAGGGGACACTAAGGAAAAACTTCTCCCTGTCCAGCTCTCAGCGTTCTAGTCACGGGACAGATACACTGTTCCGTGCATCTGACCCGTCTGCCCAGAGAGAACGAGGTTGCCATTTAAGGGTTGGGAACCAGTTGTTGAGTGAGTCAGTGTCAATCACAGTTACAGCTCGCAGAAACTAGCTCCAGAGTTGAAGGCTCCTGGATGAAGCCCAAGAGGGAGTGGAGAGGTGTGTGCAGGTCTTACACCTGACACAAGGAGAAAAATCACAATTTAAAAAGCCAAGCTAAGGAGGGGGGGAAAGGTGACACCTGGCAGGCACAGAGGGCAGGCAAGAGAGGTAGACCACACTAGCTCCCCTGATCCCACTTTATGCTTACAGGTGCTCTGATCTCGAGCTCCCTGGAGCCTCTCCCATGGCCTACAGCCAGTGTCTGTCTGCATACTCACCTACGCAGCTCCCATCGACTTCCTCAAAGCCCACAGCACAAACGCACCGGCCCACTGGTACCAGCCACTCCCCGTCAGCGCTGCAGTGCATCCTGGGGGGAGAGGCTGCCTCTTCAGCTGCATACTCCACGCAGACCCCGGGCACTTCTGTCAGCCCCTCTGAGCCCGCCAGCGTCTCTGGAAAACGGGCCAGGCCCCGCACCGCCTCCGGGCAGGTCTTGTAGTACACTCGGACGGACACCATCGCTACGCAGGCCCCAGAGTTCTGGAAGGCCAGGTAGAAGCCCCGTCGAGTCAGCTTCCCAATGGGGCACACTTCTGTGTTCAGCTGCATGGCGCCCGACTCGATGTCTCTGCTTGTGAAACTTCGATCTGCTGCCACGGTGTTGAGCTAAGTGAAAGAAAAAGAGCACAGCTTTACCACCTGAGCAGGCAGCAGCCGCTGAGATACCCGTGCCTCTCAAGCTTCTCGTACATGATGGACTTTCAGAGACTGTATGGTCCACTGCTTCTAGTGCCAGTGCACTGCATTCTTTCCTTGCACTTGGAAGAGGTGTTAACAATGAGGTCCACATCCTTTCTGGCCTCCAGACTTACCATCATCTCCTTTCAACTCCTTTGCAGTCATTCACTAGACTTATACAGTACCCTGTGTTCTGGGTATCTGATCTCAGGGGTCTTTAGGAACTGCCCCTAAAGGAGCAGATGTCTCTTCTGTGATATTTTTCTTTGTTTGCAATTGTATGCAGTAAAATCATAACACCACTTAGAGTTGTGTTTTTAAGTTGACCAGTGAATTACAGCCACCTGTTTCTAGGCTGTACTTAATGCAGGTCAGATCATCTACCGCAAGGTGCTTCTCATTAAGCACTCAGCATGTTTGAGTACTGTAAATACTTGGGTGAAAAATGCTCCTGTGCTCTAACATTTCCACTTCCTCAGCAAACAAAGGATGAGTGTGAAGGATGCTTTCTATACTTGGGCAAACAGGAAGGACCTCCAGGACATCATCTGATGTGGAAAAGCTGGACTGTGGGTGGGGTGGCCTTTCTTCTGAGAGACTGAGGATGGGGTGGCCTTCCTGCTCAGAGGGAGAGCCTGATAACTGATCCTTTCCCCCGCAGACCTCTCCCCACTGCGTGACACCACCCACTCTGTATAGTGGGATGGCAGATGAAAGGATCTGCACAGCAGCTGCATCTGGCAGTGGGATCATAAGGCAGGTTTAGGAGCTGCAGAGGTATCGTACACAAACTCACACAGTACGCTACAGAGGAGCCAGAGGAGCACTGGGGAGGGATCTTTCTCAGTCACCAGAGTCCTGCTCTGCCTGTGCTGCCTTTTACTATTGTTTTCATGATAGGCCACTTAAACTGCAGAGGAAAGTGCAGTCAAATAATATGAGTCTGTGGCTTATTTTAGGACAGAATTGAGTTACAGAACTTCCTCTGCAAAGAAGCTGAGGTTCCCTGCTCCACAATTCAAACGTTTCCATGGCAAGAGGGCACTATGTTGGGTGAAACAGCACATAAAATACAGCAGTGCTAAATACTTTCACACAAGACAGAATTTCATTATAGCAAAGCATCATCTCCAGTTTTAGAAAATAAGACCCTGTATCTTGTGACAATCACAGTAAATGATCAGGAGCACAGAGACCTGAACTGGATTCTGTTCTTCTCTTGGTCTAATCTTGCTTTATTACCTAAGGCAAGTCAAATTCCTTTGGTCTCTGCTTTACTATTTCTAAAAATTGGTGCAACCATCCAGCAGTGTTACAACACTGTGGAATCCTTACCTACACGCTGTCCAGTTACATAAGTGGTTATGCAGAATGGAGGTCTGATCTCCTTTGAGAACTCCTATGCCTCCTGTGGCAAAGACCGCTCTGAGCATCACAGAGGGCACTGGGAGCAAAGTTTATTTCAAGGACAACGCTTACTACCCATGCTCCTCCCCAGATGCCAGTTCTAGCCTCCCCCAGCCAGCAAGACACACCTAATTTAAGCTGAAAGATATGAGTCAGTCTTCACTCCCAGCGCTACAGACCTTGATGAAGAGCGGGCGGCGGAACTGGATCCCAACATCTTGTTCAGACTCCATGTAATAGAGGTTGAAGGTCTCTTTGCAGGTCACCACCTCGCCTTTGAAGCTCTTGCAGTCCCGCACCGTAAACTTGAGCTCCACGTAGACACGGGAGGCTGCCTCGCCCCGGTAAATCCAGTTGGTGCGAAGCCAGTGGTCGGTGTCACCCTCGGAAAGCACACTGCAGTCCTGGTACATGTACACCGGGGTGCCGTTGATCATCTGCTGCACTTCACTCCACTGCTCCCAGAGCAGAGCAAAACACACATCGTTAGACACATTGAGAAACAAATTCCACTTCAGATATGGCAAAATCTTGCCTAAAAGAACGATTCCTTTCCAGCGGTGGGAGCTCCAAGTCTGGCTAGCTAAAAGGTCTCTTACACCGAGCAAAAGCCACACCTGGGTTCCAATTTCTTTCATAGAATCAAATCTCAGATTGAGAAAAAGACCGACTGCTCCCACGTGCTGCCCACCTCTCTGCCACCGTTGACATTCCAGGTCATACTTACATCAGGTCTATTATCTGCCCCTGAAAATAGCGCACAGCACTTTGGGATAAGAGGAGAGATGGCCCGACACAATGGGAAGGTCAACTGCAGAAGGACTGTGCTAAAGCAAGCACTCATAAATTTGGAGTTCATGCTTCTTTTTGTGTGGTATTTTGCAAACTCTAATTTAACAATTAAAATTCAGTTGATTTTCCTGATGCCATGGTAGGTTCTGCTTCCTCCCCAGGCAGATAATGGCTGAGAGGAGGACATGGGCCCAGCTGGTTATATCACCTTACTGCTAATACTTGTATGAATCCAATAGTGTTTGAGACACAATTTAATATACGCTCTTGCTGAATTTTAGGTCGTTCTAGTTTTGTTTCCTCACCACAGGTCAGACACAAAATGCAAAGAATATTCACTTTTCAGTAAGTCACACATGAGAACTGAAAACTTGGAAAGCAAGGTTTTGTCCACAGGAAAAATAACTTAGATCATCTTTCCCTTCATGCTAAGACTGCCTTTCTCATTATGCTTTAAATGTTTAATCAAATTAAATTGAAACAAGTGCCCACATAGGTACTGGCACAAGTTTAAGCATCTTGGGTTTAAACCATACCCCAGGCTAAGATGCAATTTAAACAAGGTCTCAGTCTCTCTATTACTCTAAACTTGTCATCAAGTCTTATGGGCTGAGTGTGAGCTTCACACGTTTCTCCAGCATCACCACCTCCTGCACTCACAGCACAACCCTGCAGCCTCTGTCCTAGCTTCTGGCCCCACAGACCAGGCCACTCTGCTAGTGCAGTACAAGAGACCCAGGGAGTGCCAAACGAGGCTCTGCTTTCATGCTGTGACTTAAGAGCAGTGACCTATGCATGACTTCTGTGCAGCCCCACTCTGAAAACCATCAGAATACTTTCTTCAACCTAGGAAGGGCTGCTGATGGCACAAGCTCCTATCTGCCTGATTTCAGCCATTTACCTAAGTGCATACTAGGAGTCTCCTCCCAGGAAGTTCTGCGGATGGTATCTATGTGTTCCTTCTTGTTTCCTTTTCCTCCATGTAATTAATCTCCAGTGTTACCCCACCTTCTTAATCTGATCCAGCTGGCATAGACCTGCACCACACAGGATTTACACTTACTTCACTTACTGGAGGTCAAAGGACTTTGCATAGCATGAGAGAGAAACAGACTGATTGATGCCAATTGATCAACCAGAAGAGGCAACCACTTAATCACCTCTTGCAAGATTTCACTGAAAATCTTCTGGAAAATGCTGCAGAACTGAATTTACAACACATCCTGTAGTATATTTAAACAGAAGAAAAGAAGTTAGAAAGGAGAACAAGAGCAAAGTAGCTTTCATAAGGAGCTGCCAGTGTTAGGACTGGCTTTTAGAAGCATTTTTGCATGGGTGTCTGCCTTCACCAAGCTGATGGGAAAGGCATAATTGCATTTTAAGGCTGAGAGCTAAACAAGTTTCCATTAGCAGTTTACCCTAAAGCAGTACCACAGACAAGTGTCACCAGAAAGCAATTTTTGTTTGTCTCACCAAAAGACATGAGCTGTTGTAATGCATATCCCGAATACACCATTTTCAAAACTTAAGGGATACAGAACCAAAGTTTCATTTTCGATAGGGACAACTCTAGCAGAGAAAATTGGTTTAAAAACTCTACTGCTGGAAAAAAACCAACTGCTAACTCCTATATTTCTTAGCTCGTCTCAGCCCAGCTTCTTCCAGACTGAGCTCTTCAGGGCAAAGACGCTTAGCACTGACAATTGCAGTTTCATCTGCAGTGTGGTGCAAAGAAATAACAAGGGAGTCAGACATGGTTTTTCTAAACTCTCCTGTGGATGGGTAAAGGAAGTAAAATGAGGATATTATTTATGCTAACAATACAGAACTATTGTTAAACATGCCTGTGACTTCATTAATTCAGTGAAGCTTTTAAATTCAAAGTAGTAGAGGAAAACTGTTACATACTGCACTTAATGAAAGGGTGATGAGTCCAGAAGTTGCTAGGCAACTGTTTCATATCCTCCAAGAATCTGCTGCAAAATCAAAATGTATGCCTCTGATTTTTAATGTAATGTTCTTAATAAACTTGTGTGGTAAAGTCTGGCTCAATCAATATTAATTACTCGGCTCTCCAGCTGGTCTGCCAATGACACTGAATTAACCTCCTTTGATAATATAACCTTCTACCCACTTCATTCCAGGCATTGTATCCTTGCTCCAGTCATCAGTTTGGCCATAGGATGGAAGCATTCTTCTAGAAGAAGTAGGGAACGGTGCAAGTCAGGCTTCCTCATTTCAACAGTGAGTGAACTGTGGTTTTATGATGCTACAGAAAATTTTCTCATGAGATTCAGAATCACAGAAAGACTCAGATTGGGAAGGATCCTTGGACATCATCTAGTCCAGTTCCCTGCTCCAAACAAGCTAAAGAGTCCTTAAACTCTTTACATTTTATTCTTTAAAACTCCTTTTAGACTCTTTTTTTAAGTTTCAACTGTCTTTAAACTTTTAAAACCTTTTACAATTCTTAAAATGTTGCTAAGAAAACAAAAGCCAATGCATCCAGGAGAGTGCCATAAATTAGTAACTTGACTTTCTAAAAAGCCTAAGGATGTAGCCATTGGATTTAAGAACAAAAGGGTGTTCTGGGCTTCTCAGGAACTCACATATTAACACAGGCACTTGGTTCCATAGATTCATTCTTGGTGTGGTGATATAATACAGAGTAAAATAATTCCAGCACAGCTATTAGTGTTAAGGGAATGATACTTAAAGCAAGGTACTATCTCAATAAACTCGTAACACTCCAAATTTGGGAAAAAGAAAGGCAGCTTTCCTCCCATTTCTAGGATGGATTCAATACGAAAGCAGTGGTGGAGATGAGCTGTCTTTATGAAGGCAGTTCAGCATTACTTCAATGTCCATCTGTAAGGGCACCAGTAGATATTTGTGGTAAACAGTATTGGTGTGGTCTGTCATGTAAGTAAAAATCCAGAGATAAGGCACATGCCTTTTAATATCTGCCTTGCGTGACTCTGCATGGATTATACAGTTACAAGCTCAGAAGCCTACAGAAAGCTTACTCTGCTTTTTCTACAAATGAGGCTTCTCTAGGTTAGGTCTGTGTCACGGAACCTATCTAGGACAATGTGTGATCCCTGCCTCCATCCGAGAGCTAATCTTCCTAGGATCTGCCATAAGATATAAGATGGAAACAAATGGAGACAGTTTGTATGCCTTCTTGGAGCTACCGTCTCGGGTTCTGCAGGCATCAATAAAGCAGTCTCTTTTGGTTTTAGTCTTTATCTCTGTGGAAAAAAAGCCCAACAAACCTTTTATAATGATGAATACAAATTCCATGCTTGCTAATAAAGAGGTAGGCTTACCAGTGACAGAGGCAGCAGATCATGACAGTGTTGCAAATCCTCAAGCTCAGACTGGAGTCAAAAGAACCTGTGGCTTACAACAGTAATGCTGTCTCCATCTCCAGCTTGCCAGGGACTTGCCCTGTCTCCTTTCAGATAAGAGCCTGCCTGCTCTGACCTATATTTCAATTACTGTCGCATTAGCTTAGCACAGAGGCTTCCAACCTGTGGCCTTCAGACCCCTGGGGAAAGGCACAGCCATACTTTTAAGAGACTTACAGAAAGCAAGCATCTTGCCAATAGCCTTAAACTTACTGATCTAAGATGCATGTCTCCACTGCAAAAAGTCAGGAGTTCATCATATACTGAAAACCAATAGCTTGTTGAAGTTGAGGTTAGAGTTGCACCAAGATGAAAAGACTGGCTGAGTTAGCACAGCCACCTACAGCATGCTTGTGCTTAGCAAATGCATCTTTGTCCCATCTAGCTTGCAGAAGGATCCAGAGTGCTATTTTAATCCATGAAATCTCTTCCAGAAGAAAAATCACAGGGCCCCAAGACAGCAATCTTTTTCAGCAACAACACGCCACTGGCGTGTCTCGCCTGAAACCACCCAGCAGAACACTCACAGCTGAACAGTTTCTGTTCCCTTCCCCTGGCAGCCCTTTTGCCAGTGGAGCCTCTGACTTTTGTACAGTAGCATTTGCATGCTACCGTCACCAAAAAAGCCTTCCTGGAACAGATTCAGAGCTGAAGGCAATTGTACACTGCAGGTTCAGCTGTACTACATTCTTAGCATAGTGCCTCAGAGGAAAGTCTGTGACAGCAGAGACGGCTTGCTGGTACCTGTGGTGGTACAGTGAACAGCTTCTCTTCACCTCAAGCACACCTGACAAAAAACTGTCACTAGGTAAAGCTAGACCAGCCAGTCAAAAATAGCAGCACCACAGTGGTGTTTTGGCAGTATTCCAGAATGAAGTTTCTGTGACCCTTCACTGAAAGTTTCTCAATATACTTGCAGGTTCTTTTGCCGGTGTGGAAGCCAATTTAGATGATGATGGTGAAAGAAGTGTGGTGACATCTAGACACTTCATGAATCCTACAACTCTAGATCTGAGAGCAGCAAAGAGGCTGCTTTTATTTCTTTCATCATTTGGCAATGGTCAGGAAAGTTTCATTTAATCACTTCATCACAGAGCCTTTGAGACAACTGAACACAGAACTGATTTTTAATTGTCTACAGTATCTTTCTGGGTGGGCCGATATTTTTTCCTCACAATGATCCATTGATTATTTTCAGGGAGGAGCAACTGCATTACATAATTGCTTGTCCTTTAGGGCACTAGCACATAGGT